GGGGGGGGGGGGGGGGGGGCGAATAGCGCAGTTGTCCTGTGTAGCCAGGTGGGAGCGTGGTAGGTTTCTCAGAAAGTTCAATTGCACTCAGTCGTTTATTTTCACATACCCCGGAGCTTTAGCGGCAGCTCGGTCCGGATTCGCTGCCGGGAGGGGGCTGTTTTGGTGAAGGCACGCCGCCAAAGCTGCAAGTCGAAGAAGCACCCTTGCGGTGAAAAGGGAGATTTGGTGTCTGTAGTAATCGTATTGAGAGCAGTCGGTCCAGATTTGGGTCACGACAACCGAATGTGTTGTGTGTATGGAGGAAGCATAGGGTAAACTCGGGCAACGACGGTGAGGCATGGGTGGATTCCGGTGCCGAACCAGGGAGACCCATAGACCCATTGAGTATTTTCGACGTTCGCACGGACGATTGTCAGGAAAGGTTTCTTGCTCAACAATCATGTCCATTTTTTCTTCTTTTTTTTTGATCCTCTTGCTTTTGTTTTGGGGGGGGTCAAGCACTTCTCGGAGTTGAGCGAGTGATCGTATGGTTCGGTCGCCGGTGTACTGCGTGCTGGTGCGCCATGTACTCGTCTTAAAGGGGTTTGCCTACGTATTAAGAGGGGTTTGTCGGCGTTGAAAGGGGCCCGCGTTTCTCCCGCGAGGGCGGGAATAGGTACCCGAAAGAACGATCGGAAGAATCTGGATGCACATATTTTTTTTCGTTTCTCATGTGCGCCGCGCAACCGGGGCATCCGCTGGGAGTTTGTGTCACGTGAGCTGGGGAGGTTCCCACGCCACTCCCGCAATCGTAGTCTTCTTAGAGATGGCGTGTAGAACTAGGGGGCAGGTTGTTTTGTCGCCTTTTGTGCACGCACCACTACTACGGTAGTGTATATTACGTCTTGAAGTAGTCACCGTATATGTTTTTGTAGAAAATAATAATTGTTTTTTTTTTTTCCCTAGGTTTTGTTACGTACTGCTTTTTTTTTTTGCCGAGGTTGTCGTTGAACATATTGCGTAGGTATAGCGTCGAAGGGGGGGTTGGACGGGTAAATAAATCAGGCTTGTTGGTGGACTGGTTTTGTTCCTTTCCTCAGCAAAAATTAAGGGAGCGCGCGCGGACAACTCCCGGGTTTGTCCCTTGTTTAACATGTGAGGGTGGGCCTTTATGGATTTGAGATTTTCGAACTCGAGGGTTGGTTCCTGTACTTCTATGTTTCTTGGAACAGAATAGGGAAAAGCCACACGTAGCAATAATATAATACGCCAATCAAGTGCCGCTGGTTGCGGTTCGACCGCGGCCCTCGACCGCCTGTGGTCCAACGGGATGTCAACGGGATGTGTGTCCCTCCCATTTTTCTGTGGTCACGACAGAAGAAGTGGGGTGCAGTATATTCTCACCGGGCGACGGCCGTGCTGGATGCTGGAGACCTTCGGGCTGGGGGTGGGTGGGAGGCTTTGCAGTCTTGCCGCCCCACTTGAAAAAGGGCGGTCGCGGACCGAAGTGTTCCGCGCGGGCGGACACGGCGATGGCACAGCTGGTGTTTTTGGTTAGACTTGCTTTTTAAGTCAAACCCCCAGTTATGACTTTTGGCCAAATCCCCCAGTTATGATTGGCTGGCCCGGGGGGTGGGGGGGGGGGCACCTCATTTTCGGGAATGAGGGCACGATTTATACAGCCGTGCGTACCCTGCACAGGCTAAAGTCACCAAAGACCAGCAGAAGCCGTGCTAGCGCTCTTATTGGAACATGGCACCGCCTTCCTTCACTTGGGCGACTTAAGGTTTTCGCGCCCTGGACAACATGGTGGGCGCCAGGCTCGCTTTCACACTGATTTCATTCGGGTTTGAAGTATCGGCTTGAAATATAGCCTGTTGGGAACTGGAGCTTTCGCTTCAAGGGGGCGCCGCAGCCATGCCGGCTACCTGGCGCCAGGGCAACGGACGCGAGGTCATGGATTTCGTTTCGCCAGCTGCGATAGATAGATTAACATGCCGTTTCACCGAGGCGCGAGAACAAACGGCAACCTCTATACGCCCCCTCCATTGTAACACCGCAAAGAAGGTGGGCAGGTTTGTCGTAGGACAGGCGAAAACATACCTTGTCGAACACTCTTGCAACACCGATTGCGTTGCGAGTTCTCCATGGGCCGCCCAGGACCATCAGTGAACCTGTTCTCGTTATCGACCACAGGCTGCGCTGTTGATGACTCGACCGTCACGGGGAAAGCAACTCGTCCGCGATGCCAGCAAATCTGTCGGCAAGGCCCTCTCCACCTAGATGAGAACCACACCTCTGTAGTTCCCACCCCATGCCTGTGCTGTGTCCCGTATCGATATCGAACTAAACGTAGTTTACAAACAAGTCGAGACTCCGCTTTTCTCCCCCACCATCAAAATTTGGATCAGTTATTTCCCTCTGCGTGTGCGATCCCCCCGCGACCGCGAAAGAAACCAATTCGTGCAGCGAGCTGTTGCAATAGTGAGCCTTCGCCAGCCTACCGCACCACACTACACCTCTCCACGCCTCGTGCGACAGCCCCCCAAGGCTTTTCACCTTCGCATTCACACGCTACACACACAAGAGCCCGGTGGTACTACACACCAGTAGGTGAACTTGGCGTGGGGAGCGATGAAGAAGCGGAAGCGGACATGCAGTAGTGGGGCGGGGGGGCGCCCGTCTCCAAACACGGAGGACGGGATAAAATCAGTTTATTACGAACCACAAGGGGGGGGGGGGGGTACGCAGACCCTGTCCCTAACCCAACTCCCCCTAATTGCATGCTTTAC